CCGGCAGGCAGGCGCGAAAGTTTTGCCCCAAATTTGACACGGTTTTCATAAATTCAGACATATATATATAGCTGTACTTTATCCTTCTGATCACGTAGACACACGAATCAGGATTTACCCCTGTTTTTATTTCGGCCCACATGTTAGTGAGAAGTTCACATGGCACGTAAAAACCGATTGATCACGACTTGCTACGAGACATCCCACGTAAAAAAATACACCATTTGCTTTACGACAGCTTTGCGTGTTTGCGAAAAGTGTTATTAATTCAAGAACTTCTTTAAAAAAACTGGTACAAGAAAAGCACATAATGTCTTTTAAATCAGAAAACGTGGTGTAAACCGAAAATTGGCTCCAAATTTGCCTGAGGGAGTCTGGAAACAGACAAAAACTTGGTTGCCATAGAGATCTCGAATCACTTGAAATAAGCTTGGGAAAATTCACAAATTGTGGTCAAATTGTTTAAAACATGATGCTAAACTAGAATATCTGGTGTGGAAAACAAAAATCATTTATTGAGGAAAATCCGACGTCTTCCTCTCGTTTCTGGGGACACTGACGGGGTTATCATGCCCTGATTGTTAATTATGCAACTTGTTTGACTGAAAACTAATACGAAACTATGATATCAACCACATTACACTTATAAGCATTTTAAACAAAAATGTTGAAGATTAACGAAAAAAATGGTGCAGTTGTTCAAGTTACCGTCGACCATAACATGTTTTCGCTTTCCTCACTAGGGGGGCGCTAATACATCGTTACAACATCCCCTACAACATTGCACAGCTCTTAGCCATCAGGTACATTATCCATTGTGTGTATTTATAAGATTCAAACGGTCGCATTCTACGTGTATATACCCGAATCTTCGAATATAGCAGCTTGCCAATAGATGATCAAGGTGTCTATGTCTGTGGAACAGTGTTATGGTTACGTGCCCCAGGGGAAATTTGATACAGAAGCTCTAATCACTTGAAACACAAGTACCACCAGATTGCGAATTAGAAAAAAAGAGCGAGTATGAAGGGAGAGAAGTATGTATTATTGTCATGTGGAACATTCTGAAACGATTTTGATCGAGATTATGCCCGTTGAACGGGTTATATTAAAATTAAGCATCTGCAAAATAACATCTTCTGTGCGTAAAGTTTTGTGTTTTCAGATACATGCTGACAAACCAAAACTTATTTCTTTTAACAGCCAACAGGTCTAAATTTAGCCAATGATAAAAGAAGCATTGGGTCAATTCAACAGCCAATAGATCGGAATATAGCCAATTAAATATGCAAATAAGAACACAAAGCACAGAATAACACAGATTTTACGTAGTATTCTTGGCATTCCCTTAAAGGAGTTTTCAAAATTTACAAAATGATTTTAGACTGGCGTGTTGAGAGCCCAGCTCAAGGCATTTTAAATATCACAACATTAATTAATCTGGAAAGTGAGTCCAGTTCCATATATTTCAAATATAACAACTTATGTGACTTTCAATTTTTCCTTTAATTATTTTAAAAAGTTTTTAAATCTTTTTATGTACAGGTTCCTATTAAAGGGTAAACTCGACAGCCATGACAGGGACATTCGTGGACTTGGGAAAGGAATAAAAAGGTATGCCTATGCATTTTCTAACCAAGAAAGAGGATACATATGTCCAGAGAGAATGAAGTTTTTAACAGTGAAAATTAAAAATATATATGGCTGCAATCGAACAAGATAGAGATACAGATGTAGAGCAAGGGCAATCCTAAGATTCTAGGATTATAGGATTCCAAGAAACGCACGCTATGCTGAGCTGAAAGAATGAGGGTACGGACGGATTGTACAATGCAGTGCGTCCATCGTCCCAAAATAATCAGTAGGGACTTGCACCTGCAATGTATCCAACGCGATGTTAGCTCTTGAGGAAGATTTTGTCCAAGAAAAGA